GGAGGAGGCAAAACAACCGCATCCCGTTCTGGGAATCCTTCTCTTGGACATCTCTGCTTCACGATGTGGCAATAGGGTCGTGTCTTCACATTATCTGAGCCGAATCGCCAGCTTTGGCAAGCTCCCAACCTGTTCTTGTGGCTTGGGCGATCCCTCTCCTCTTTCTGCTACGGTAAAAACGAATCGGAGACCCACTTCCCAGTTGAAACAACAGAAGAGCAAAGGGGACAGTTTCAGCGTGGAGGAACAGGAAATGGGAAGAGTCTGCTGGACAAACAGGAAAACCCGTCTCTGATCCATAAACTTTTATTACACCTGTTAAAATTTCTCAAAGTAAAAAGGGGGAAAGCATTTTTTGAGTAAATCCTTTGAAGTAGAGACCAACGCACCTCATTTAACTACCTTCTTCGAAGCACCTGTTAGCTTGGAAAAGGATATTCCCCTCAGTTGCAAGTTACCAAAAAGATTTAAAAAAAAAATCATTTTTAGACTTATTTTTATATACATCATTTACAGCTGGAATCTTTACAGATTCAATGCCTCATTTTGGCCAAGGGAGATGATTCTTGGTGCTGGGGAGCATGATTTAGTGTCAGCCAGGTACGTTTTGCTTTCACAACTTGTGTTTATTTATGCTGCTCTAGCAGCACTACTGCAAAAAGAACTTCGTAGTTAGAACTCGAAAGGTTTAAAATTAGCATGGGGATTCCCCTCAAAAATGAAAACAAACTTGTTTTCAACTTCAAAAAATGAAATTTCAGACTGCTTTGGTGCCATTCTACCACAGAGGCACTGGTATTATAAATCGTCATCAAGGATTTCCTAATCAGCTTTATGAAATGCTCCCCCCCCACACCTCAATCAAATTAGATATGCATCTTTGAGGTTAAAAAAAGAAAAAAACCAAGTATTTTGCACTTTCCACTTCCTTCAGTGCAAGTTTCTGTCCAGAAGCTATACAATATATAATAACAGTATTATTTCCCCCCCACCACAGACAACCACCAACAGAAGATTAGCACAGTTGTCTTTTCCACCAATTTAGTGCACCCAGGTCGAAAGAAAGGAGAGGATGGGGGTTGTGCCAAGACAGACACCTCATTTAAAGGTCCTGGCTCTCCTGAGAGTCTCCCCCCAGTGACAGAGAAAAGGATGTGACTTCATGAGCTGTTAACTACCAGCTTTGACAGACACTCACCTACAACACACACCCACTCTTCGTGTTTGGTACTGGCTGTGCAGAGGGAAAAAAAATAATAATAAAAAATGCAGGATGAATGGTTGGACTTGCAGGGCGAATGGTTGGACTCGATGATCTTGAAGGTCTCTTCCAACCAGACGATTCTATGATTCTATGGAGCTACCAGGTAATTTAGCCTTGTAGCAGGAATCCGGTTACAGAAAGGAAAGAAAAGCAATCTACTTTGGCCTGCTGCCTCTGAACAGCAAAAATGAGCAGCTCCAGTTGCAACATGGCTTGCTTCCATTTCGAAACTTTTAATTCCCCATCATTCTAAGAGTAACGTCAGCACCTCAGCTTTAAAACACGTTTTAGATAGCACATGCTTTCCTCAATCCATCTTTGATTTTGGCTCTCTGATAACGTCTTTCAAGAAGACTGGACTTTTGCAATTTTGGATTTACGCTGAGCGTAAGTTCTCTTAGGGCTATTTCTCCTTGTTTCTACTATTACCTTGGAGCTAGCTCCCTCCAACCCTCCTACCACAGAGCTGAAACGTAAGAAACTCATTTTCTACATGGCTGCGTGCTCCGTGGTGGAACAGCCAGCCAGACACCTACTACTGTCTTCCACCAGGAAGAACGAGCTGGCACTCAGCCCATCAGGATTCACAAGCACTTCCAGAGAGGACAAGCACAAGCAGCACCTCCTGCCATGAAAGCAGATTTTGTCAGTTTAATCCCACTGTCATTCTGGTTTAATGACACGGGGTCTGCTGACAATATTCAGTCGGATTCTTTACATCCTTCACCTGCTGTACACCTGCTCTAAGCTGCCAAAACGGAGGGATGTATGGACCCCTCTGCTGTCCTACAAAATTAAGAGGATCCCAATGAGGATCATCCTCCATCCCCTCAAAGAACTTAGAATTTAGAGGCTTTGTTGATTCTCCATTTATTTTGAGAAATATAAAATATGAAAACTAGTTTACAGTTCAGGCACAAAAATGATGAAGCAATAAGCACAAAGTTTCTTTTTACAAAGAATGTTACCTATTTTTACCATTTAAAAGTGCCTAGTTTTTCACAGCAGATAAGTTTATTCACCTGTATCTTTTTTCTTAGTAAAATATTAAATCTATTTAAATTGCACATGAACACCCTGGTGAAGTAAACTGTGTGTAAAGTTATGATAAATCTGTATTTAAAGCAGCCAGTCATTAGAAACTACATGGAATGGAAAAGACTATCAAAGCCAAAATTGAACCTTAAAGACTGACCAAGAAAACAAAAGACACCGACTGATATGGCACAAGTGATTAAATTACTGACAATTTGACAAAAAAGTAATAAAGCGCATTTGAAGTTCTTCACGGATCTAATACACTGCTAAAACATTTCAGTGCGGAGGTTTTGTAACATTGAAACTGGCAAAAGAGTTTTTCGGCTGCTAAACATTTTTCCACAAGATTACAAGGCATGTCCTTCACTTAATATTGGACCTTAAAATGAGTACACTGGTAGACAGAGAATGTGCATAAGAAAACAAAATTTACAGCCAAGGTTGCTGTAGTTGACAACTTACTATGTTTTGACAATAAAACAGTTGAAAAGTTTATCAGTTACAATTAACTGCATTAACTTGCAACAGCAGAAACTAGAACATTTAAAAAGATTATTCTTTACTTGTTCCTTCAAAAAAGTTGCCTCGTTCAAGTTTCCACAATTGCCGAGGGGTTCAACCTGCAGTTTTACTGTCAACACAACCACTTACACTATGCAAAATCAGGTGTGAACTGAAGTCTCTACACATCAGGGCCAAACTTTCACTCAGAATTCTTACTCCTCCTTCACAGACACTTCTGCTGAATTGTATCAGTCATTATTTGGAGGGCTCTTCAGTCAAGAAAGAGTGATTAGGGATCTAAGGTGTCCAACCTGAAATATTTTCAAGAGCTGCCACAGCATCTGGAGTGTGCTCTGACCTTCTGCATCATGTTTCTTAAATGCAAACCCTTTAACATTCCAAATGGAAGATCCAAAAATTCAAGTATCCAATGTCTTACTGGTTTTAAGTCCTGATCCTCAAGCTTGTGTTGATGTCATGTCATTTACACGAGCATTTCTTTCATACTACAGCACAACAGATTCACCCATTTTGGTATCTTTTGCAGGTGGTCAAAGGAGTATTTGATTTGCACCAAAATCAGAATTAACAGAGAGAACTGGGCCCAAATGGCATTGTTATGTTGCTTTAAGAAACACAGCAATGCTGACAACAGTTGTATGATAAATGCTCCGTTAGGTCATTCACATTAAGTAGCACAGGAAACACACGGGCACACTAGATTCCTTTGCACTGAAGCTCAGCTGTTTAAAAAAAGCAGGAATACACTCTATTCCCAAAATTAGTATTATATTATAAGCATGCACGACTTCACATATCTAAACAAAACCAGGAGGCAGGACCTAAACCACAGGCTTTACGAAGAATTCAACAATGCCTCAACGTTTGCCATTTAATGAAAGTCTAGCCACTTAAAATGAGAGTGCCAATGTGACCCTCCCTCAAAAAAATACCTTTGTAAACCAGATATTAAAGCAAGTTTAGTCTACAAGAAGAAAATTTGAAAAGTGATCAACCAAGTTCACAGAGGGAAATAAACAGCCTCAATAAACTACATTTTAAAGGTTTTCCAGTTAACCACACATTATTTTTCACCTCAGTTCAACTGAATACCTCTTCTTACATAGATGTAGAGAATATCTGAACAAAAGCAATCGATTTGGCCTATTTTGTTGTTAAATACTACTTTCAGGCAAGTGAAAGTGCCCAGTTTTACAAGTAATTTTAGCTTCAGAATAGTGACTGAAAACAGAAAATACGACATTGAAAACCCAGCAGTGCTAACAAATACAAAATATGCAGCTTTTGGGAAAAAAAAAGCAGCTCACAAGGCACTTGCTATAATGGTCCATTAAATAAAGAGTATATATAGTGCACCCTCAAAACGTTGTTATGCATCAAGCTTTTTCAGCGTTAAACTCAAGATTTATTACACAGAGCCTAGTGGTTGTTTTTATTCTGAAGCAGTTATTGAGCAGCCTTGTTTCATACAATGTAAATGAAACAAATCAGAAGTGAGGCATAGCAGGAAAGTATTTTAAATCATTTCTTGTCATGTGAAAGTTCTTCTGTGTCGCGATAAAATTTAGCGTGGAATGCCATTCTGATACACAGCCCTCCCGGCCCCCCTGCCCCCAAAAGCT